TTTCTAGTTGGTTGTTTACATGACTTGTGTCTATAAAAATACTCTTATAACTCATTGTTAAAAAATATTTTTTTTAAATGAATGTTGGCACTAGCACTATTAGTGAAGATATCTGTCTTGCATAATATGCAACTATTCACACAATTTTCAAGAATAAAAAGTATTTCTTTTATTTAGTGAAGCGAAAGACCGATGTTAGTATTATATCTAGCCTCTTAAAAATAATTTAAAGCTCTAGAAAAACCAATGTGTTATTATGTGGAGGAACAATATTACACATTGATAATGCATAGGGCCGGCCCAGTGCAATAGTAGTCTGTGCTACAACATCGGGCCCCAAATTTTGGAGAGTCCACATTTTTTTGTAATTTCTTATAAAATACATTTTACACCTATTTTTTAACAGATATAAAATCATAGTTTGTTTTCAAAATCTATTTTACACCTATTTCTTAAAAATAGGTGTAAAATCATAAATTTTTTAAAATCTATGTATTTTTATCGTTTTTTTAAAAACTCGGTATAAATTAATATTTTTAGGTCTATTTTTAAAATTATAGCAGAGCCCCCGAATTGATTGGGCCGACCCTGATAATGCACTATATTCCTTTAAGTCCAATAGAAATTTATTAAGTTTCAAAGAAATTCGTATAAATGAATATCATATCGAAACAAGAGATGATGGAGGCATTGAATATCTTTGTATTACAAAATATGATTTGGACAAAACATGTGTAATGGAAAAGCTATCGGTTTTTTCCTCAGGCTTGTACTACACTTATATTAGTACCATTGAAGCACATGCCATTATAAAATCAGAAGTTTACAGATAATTACAAACTTTAATTTTGCATGACCAGTTGGGTCATTCCGGTTATATAATGATGCGAAAAATAATTGAAAATTCATGTGGTCATCAATTAAAGAGTCAGGAAATTATTCAATCAAATAAGTTCTCATACAGCTCTTACTCGCAAGAAAAGTTGATAATTCGACCATCACCAACAAAAATTGGAAATTAATCTATCAATTTCTTAGAGTTGTATGGTGATATTTGTGGGCCAGTACACTTATCATGTGGACCATTTAGATATTTAATGATTTTAATTGATGCATCAACTAGATGGTCACATGTATGTTTGTTGTCAAGTCGCAACCAGGCATTTGCTAGATTGCTAGCTCAACTAATTCGAATAAGGGCTCATTTCCCCGATTACCCTTTAAAGAAAATACGTCTTGATAATGCTGCAGAATTTTCATCCCAAACATTTAATGAGTATTGTATGTCTATTGGAATTGACATTGAACATCCAATAGCACATGTTCATACACAAAATGGACTTGCACAATCATTTATTAAATATGTTAAATTAATTGCAAAACCTCTTATCATGAGATGCAAACTCCAAATTTTTACTTTGGGACGTGTAGTTTTGCTTTCCGTAACATTGATTCGCATCAGGCCAACAAGTTATCACACCTCTTTCCCTTTACAATTAGTTTTTGGCAAAGAAGCTAATATTTCTCATCTAAGAATTTTTGGATGTGCGTTTTAAGTTTCAATTTCTCTTCCACGTCGCACCAATATGGGTCCTCAAAGGAGGATGTGAATATATGGTGGATATGACTCTTCATCTATTATAAAGTACCTTGAACCAACAACAGAAGATTTATCGATTTGTTGATTGTCATTTTGATGAATCAAATTTCCCAGCATTAGAGGAGAGAATAAGAAGCTGGAAAAAGAGATCAGTTGAAATGAATTATCATTGTCTCATCTTGATCTTCCAACAAAACAATGTGAATTAGAAGTTCAAAAGATAATTCACTTGCAAATCTTAGAAAATCAATTACCAAAATACATTCACTGATCCAAAAAGTGTGACTAAATCATATATACCAGCAACTAATACTCCAATAAAAATGGATGTCCCTGTTGGACAATCTAACAAGTCTCAATCACGCTTGAAGCATGGTAGACCAATCGGTTCCAAAGATAAAAAATCATCGAACAAGAACGGGATCTAAGAATAAAGATGGCTCGAGTGAGGATATAGAAAACTTAAAAGAATCTAAAATCATAATAAATATTTCAGCTCCAGAAGAGGATGATCAGGTACCTGAAATTCATGAAAATAAAGAGATCTCGATAAATCATGTCCATAATAGAATACAATGGGACCTATGAGAAGTCGACATTGATGATATTTTTGCATACAATATTGTGCTAGATGTGATAAATGAAAAAAAGGATCATGAACCAACATCTATTAAAAATTGTAGACAAAGTGAGGATTTTCCTAACAGAAAAGATGGAATTGAAGCAAGATTAAACTCACTTTACAATAGAAAAGTTTTTGAACCTGTAGCACATGAAGGGCTTAATTTGCACATGATGGATATTCTAATAGCTTATTTGTTTGGCTCACTTGACAATAAAATTTATATAAATCTCCCTAAAGAGTTCAATATACCAAATGCACATAATTATGGATCTCAAGAAAGTTACTCTATCAAATTGAACAAGTCTCTCTATGGAGTGAAACAATTTGGACACGCGTGGTATAATCGTCTCAGTGAATATTTGTTAAGGTAGGGATATACAAATAATTGTATTTGTCCTTGTATTTTTATAAAAAGATCTGGAAAAGAATTTGCAATAATAATTTTCTATGTGGACGACATAAATGTTATTGGAACTCCTGAAAGAACTTCCAAAAGCTATAAATTGTTTAAAGAAAGATTTTGAGATGAAGAACCTAAGAAAGACAAAATTATATCTAGATTTACGAATTGAGAATTTGGACAATGAAATATTTGTACATCAAGAGAGTTATAGAGAGAAAAAGTGTTAAAACATTTCTATATGAACAAATGTCATTCGTTGTCTACTATAATGTTTGTTAAAACATTGGATTTGGAGAAATATTCCTTTACACCTCGAGAAAAAGATGAAGAATTACTTGATCCTGAAGTACCAGATAATTATACATATCCTGATATATCATTTGTTGTCAATCTATTAGCAAGATATATTTCTTTACTTACATGAAGACATTGGAACGGAGTCAAACATATACTTTGTTATCTTAGATGTATCATGGACATGGGTTTGTTTTATTCTAAAGTATTCAAATTCGAACTAACAAGTTATGCAGATGCATGTTACTTGTCAGATCCTCATAATAGCATATCACGGGCAAGTTATTTGTTTACATGTGGCGGAACGATTATTTCTTGGAAATCTTTGAAACAAACCATAGCGGCAACTCCATCTAATCATGCAGAACTTTTAGCATTACATGAGACAGGTCGAGAACGCGTTTGATTGATATCCCTAATTTAACACATACAAGAGACTTATGGTTTTCCTTCTGGAAAAATGAATACAACAACCATATATGAATATAATATTGCATGCATTGCTCAATTGAAAGATAGCTACATTAAAAAAGATCGATCAAAACACTTTTTTCAAAGTTCTTTTTCACTCATGATCTTCAAAAGAGTGGTGATATAAACATCCAACAAATTCGTTCATATGATAATCTTGCAGACATTTTCACAAAGTCACTCCCTAGTAGAATTTTTAACCAACTAGTACAAAAGATTAATCTTCATCGTCGAAGAAATAATAGTTCAATTGAGGAGGGAAATGAATTCATCTTAAAATGATATTGCACTCTTTTTCATTCACTAGATTTTTTTTCCCACTGCATTTTTTCTATTAAAGTTTTAATAAGACATATTCTCAATGGACATCCAATGAAAAAGTGTTATAAATAATATTAATATAAATGTGGATACTCATTTTTCTAATCTTTTCATATTCCTTAACTCCTACGACTTAATGGTCTAATCCTTTTATATTCATTAACTCTTATGAATCAATTGTTGTTATTGGTCTGTCTTGCAATATTAATTAGACTTGCAAGACGAATACAATATTACTTTCTCTTATTCATTACTTTTTCTTATTCATCTCTACTCTCAGTGTATTATTTCTAATTAATTTTATAACTATTACATTTTTATACAATATTTTATGTTCTTTTATTAAATATTTATATTTCGTTAAAAAAATTGTGTTTGAATTATAAATAATAAATATCATTTTTTATTAATAAACGTGTGTTAAAATGATGAATGGTAAATATTACAAGGATAAAAAAATAATTTGGTTTAAAATATCTCACTTTCTCTCGTAAACTAAACATTTTGTAACTAAAATTTATCTTATCTCATCCTCTTTCATATTTTGAACCAAACATATATATCTAAATCAAATCACTCCCCTCCCTTTGATAAAAATTCTTTTCCTCTCGTCCTCTCCCCTCAATTGAACCAATCACACCTTAAGTGAGACTCTCCCCTCAATTGAACCAAACAGGCTTTAAGTGAGACGACTACATGGGTCAACTAACTACATCAATCAACTTTAACTATAATGTTCTATCCAAAAATATGTTCTCTTGATCATCCATCAATCTAAACATATCCTAAAAATCTATTAGAATGAAGAGCCAAATCAAATAAGCAATATTATAAATGCATTCCATTGAGATTATATGTCAAAGAAATGGAGTATTCCACAACTAAAGTTAAGCAAACCTTTAGTAAGTTTCTTAAAATAAGCTTCTAAATTTATAGTTATACAGAAATAGTACAAAGAAGAAAAATTAATCATCAAGGCAATAAAATTTATATCAATTTGCCTATAGTCTAGTCTAGCCTTGACATGAAAAGATTGTTACAAAAAGTGCTAGAAATACATCTCAACACAAGAACTCTTTTACTAACAAGTTCTAAAAGAAGTCCAAAGACAGAGAACCAACCTTGTCAATTTATAACTCGCTTCACATACAACAATGATCAGTCAGTGAGCAGTGTTCTTATGGCAAGTTGGAAATTTGTGTGTATATGTGACGGCACACTATCACAGATTCACAATGTTCAATATGATTCGAGAAAATGGACTGTCAAACAACAGATGCAATGATCTACACGGTATGCTCTATGTGGTGATACTCGAGATTACGAAGAACAATCCTGGCAAAGATTTTTGCTTCGAGAGGGGCGGTTGCTGCCGCAGCCGCACTGCGTAGAACTCTTGCTGCCCCTGCGTTCTGCATGAGACGGGCATGGTGGACGGCGTGTCGTCCACCAGGAATCGTAAACTGCAATTGAAAGACAAACCACGGAAGGAAGTCAGAATTCAAAGTTGGCATAGCTCAGCGATTTAAAAAACGGTTGTGGTCATATCGCAAATGCAGCCTCAGTTGCAGTCGCGTTATGGTTTTGAAAAATGAAAACAGTTATGTTATGGTTGAGAGCACGGTCGCAGACCTTTATTTAAAACCCTTGTTTGTATATATAAAAACCAAGCATGTTCATGTTGCTAGAGTTACCTGAAGAAGAGCAAATGCTGCACAAGCTTTGAGTATTGATGACTGATTTCGTAGCATAGTAACAAATCTTCCAACTTCAGCACCACTGAGAAACAAAAAAAAAGAGTAAATATCTTTGAAATTAAAAAATGATGTGAGGTTGATAGATCAACTGTGAGAGCGATGAAAGTTAAAACTATAAGAGCACCGACACAGACATCAGTAAGTGAGAGATAGCACACAAAACTTCAATCCGAAGTGTTTGTGCTACATAGTTGGTTAGTAGTTACAACTTCGTAGAAAGAGCAACTTAAAATGGCATTAGAAGGAAAGACAAACCTGCATCTAAGATGTCCAGCTTCTTGAATACGGGCACTTTCAGTAACTTGGGCTAGTGCTGCAGGGGCTGACGAAGAAGCTGCGGCCGCAAATGCTTGTTGATTAGAAAACATTCGTACAAATGCTTCGATGTGTTTCAGAGCCATCCTTCTGGCTCCATCCAAGCCAACACTCTTAGAAACACTTTCTGACAAGGTGCCAACTAAAGCAAATTCATCCATTCTGCAAAACACATGGAAGCTTATGGAAACAGTTTATAAGCTATTTTTAACTTATTTCTATAAGCTCTATATGATAGCTTATGAAAATAATCTCTATATGATAGCTTATGAAAATAATTTGACTTTATTTTTACTTGTTAAAGAAATAGCTAATACATAAGCACTTATATGATAAACACTGATGTTATTAGTGCTTAATTAAGTTATTTATCCAAACAGGGTCTAAAGCAGCTTGCTAAAGATTAAGTTTGTCACAAGTATTACCTCCCATCAAACATGTAGGCCAAAGCCAATGCCGCCATAAACCGTGCCATTTTTGACACTGATGAAGAACAGAGATCAACGAGTGCCGCTACTCCACCTTCCTCCACGATTCGTAAAGCATTGCCAGGGTTGAAAGCAAGATTCCATAGTGCTCCTGCAGCAGTTTCATGAACATCCTGGAAGCAAAAAGTGGTTTGGATTTAATCAGCATTTGACGTGTAAAAGGAGAAACCCAAAAGAGAAAAAGACTTGCAGAATACACCAATATAAGTGCTGACAGCTACTACTCTACTATAGTCTAAAGCAACTCAAAAGACTCGTAATAAGACCGGCAAAGAACTAAGCATACGCCAAATTTGATGTTTTTCGGAATTGTTATCCATAAACATTGGACATTAAGAAAATAAATACCTCTGCTTCAGATCGTGCCAATGCAATCAGAGGTGCAACGCCTCCTTCTCGTCCAATGGCAATGCTAATCAAACAAAGACCAACATAACTGAATGTTAGTATATGAGCTAAATAAAACCAAAATGTTGTAAATTTTCTATTACAAGGATATTTTAGAAGACAACAAGACGACATACATAAAATAACTTGATCATTCATCTTATTTATGATGCTGCTAAGAGGACAAAAAGAAAAGCATAAGATGAAAACCATACGTAAATTCACAACATCAACAACTGAATATATATTTAGTCTAACAATGGTTAGACTCAATTTCCATTATATTAGTCAACAGGAACTGGCCAACACGTACGCAATGAACCTGGACACTATTGAATAACAAGACAAATTACACACTGTCCTTCAAGTTGGAGCATATAGATCATATGCACTATACTCGTTATGCAAAGACTTACCCAAGAACCACTCTGCTAAGGGTGAAGGTTGCCGGTAACGATAGGCTTGTAAAGGACAAGGAGGAGAAAAATTCACTTAGATTAGGACATCACTATGGAGTGTACTCGGCGGCGACAGGAGGAAGCGGTGAAGTGTCTGACATAGACTATAGACTTGGGTGTTGAAGAATTTCAAAGAAAGGTCCAGACTCAAAGAACACCATGTTAGACGAGACCATATAGCTTCGCAAATTAAGGACGTGGCAACAATAACCCTTGTAAGATCAAGTGTAACCTAGAAACACACGTTTTGAGAGATTGAGGTGACAATATATTCGGACCAGAAGCAAGATTATGAACAAAACAAGTAGACCCAAAAAATCTAAGGTTTCAAAGAATGGAAAGGTTGATGGAGAAATAACACTGAGAAGTTGATTGGGAAATAACATTGAGTGAAATACTTGGCCATTAATACACAAGTAGGCATCCGATTTATTAAATAACAAGCAGAAAGAACAACATTCCCCAAAAAATGAAAAGTAACATTGTCATGAATTAGTAAGGTATGAGTTGTTTCATTGAGATGACGATTTTTACCTTCAACAAATCCCCATTTTGTTGAAGAGTGACCACAAGACGTTTGATTGAAGAATGTCATGTGAAGCCATAAATATTTGCAATAAAGTAAGTATTAAGGTACATTATTGATTCGCAAAGTACAAATGGGAATACGAAACTGTGTTTTATACAACAGCAACCAAGTCTTATCCCACTAAGTGGGGTCAGCTACATGGAGAACACTGCCGTGTTTTTTTATCTCAAGACAAAGTTGTTGAAAGATGGAGAACAATTCAGACCTATTTTTCATCAGAAATAACCAAGTATGTTGTGAATAGCTTAGACAAACTTGTCACCAACCTTAACAATTTTGCAAGGCTAGGATGACCAACATTAGACTCACACCTGACACCAATCATTCGGCTTGAACTCTGATCATGTAGAAATGCAGAATCTTTAGTGATAAAGAAAACACAATCAAGAGTGAGGATTGTGTTAAGAGTCCCGCATCAATATATGGCCTGAACATGTCTTTATAAGTGGGGACAATCCTCACCCTACAAGCCGATTTTGTAGGATTGAGATAGGCCTAACCACATTTCTTAAGATAGTATCATGAGCCTCATTTAAGATCCGATGGGTCACCTGTTATCAGGTTTCTGCTATCAGACACACCATTTATTTCCATGCTCCAGATGTCCAGTCCTGGGCGTGAGGGGGTGTATTAAGAGTTTCGCATTGGACAACACATGGCCTGAACATGTCTTTACAAGTGGGGGCAATCCTCACCCTACAAGCCGGTTTTTTAGGGTTGAGTTAGGTCTAACCACATTTCTTACAGAGAACCTAAAACATATAGGAAAGAGTCAAGATAAAGAGGGAAAAGGCTTGACAGCATCTACCCCTTTGGAATGTGTTTGGTAACCATTTGCTAAGCTAATTATTGGTAATAACTAGAAGAAGAAAAGAAGCACTGAAATTAAGAACCCAAAAACCGATTGAAGATGACATGGAGAGGGCGGTAACAGCATTTTCTGAGCCACAAGGGTGCTCAACAGAAGTGCATATGAGGTTTGATGCTACTTAGACCACATCAAAATAGGCAGTATGTGGACAATGAGACCCGAGGGCTGACATTCATCAAACCACTGAAAAATTAGCATGAGTGAATTGAATTGTGTTGGTAAATGGGGAAAAGACAACTAGCAGAAAATAGATATATCAGCACCGTACAAACAGTTTGAGCCAAATCAGCACCAGAAAGCTGCTAGGAACAGAAACTCAGTGAAGAGTTATGAAACTGTGCTGGAACACAGACTGCAATATGCAAAATTGAATGTTGTCTGTTGGAGGTGGAAGCAGACAGATCTGATTCACCACATGGAAGCAGCGGGCAGAAAGGGTTTCAAATGCGCCTCCACAGGCAGGGAAAAGTTTCTGTGAGCCACGGCTTCAAGTCATGCGTGAGACATGAAAGGTCTGATCAGGAGAAGCCAATTCTAGTGGTGGGGGTTGGTTGTCAAAAAGGTCACCAAAATAAGGGGAGGCAGACGGCAGCGGCTTCTTTCAAAGGTGCCTGATGGCTGACAGAAATGCAAAAAAGAGCAAAACACAGCTGCCAGGAAAAGATTTATCTCAGGAGGACAGTGGGTCCGGTCAACACGGTTTTAAGATTGCCACTCTTTAGGCTCGATAGTTGATACCATGTTGAATAAGAGGGGAAAAAAGGTGTGTGGTGAACCTGTGTTTCAACTACACAACGAAGTCCGTCTTATATAGGCTTAATGTAATAAAAACAAATAAATAAAGGATAAGTACGAAGATGCTAACCATGTTTTCAACAGTTATATATATTGGAATTATGACAGCAACTTAGAAGATTCTTAAAATAAGGAAAAGATATATTAGTTTAAAGGGGAGAAAGAAAAATACAAAAAGGACCACAGAATTCCTATGGAACACAAAAGAGAAGATAAAAAATGAAAGGAAACACAAAAGGTTAGAATAAATGGAACTGTAAAAGGTACCTATTGGCTTCAGAAACTGACAGTCCCCATAGAGCACCAGCAGCCCTCTCTTGAAGCCCGGGGGAAGCATTAGAACAAGATTGGGCAAGAGCAACCTACATAAACCACATTGCAAAAGCATAAAAATAATCAACATTTTATATGAAATCTGTCATTTCAGTCCTTGAACTCTACGAAAAATCATCATGTTAGTAGTCCCTTGCATCTCAATAGCAGGGACTAAAGTGATGGATTTCATATACTAGAGTGATAATTGTTTGAGTTTTAAATTGGAATCTTCCTTATTTTGCAGAAACTATTTTTGAGGAATCTTTTGAGCTAAAATTCAGGGAAGTTGTTGTGAAGCCACTAACTTCAGTTTTCTCGTATAGAACTCTTTCATGGTTTCGAATGCAAGTTTTTCCTTTTACAGCCCTTTCGTTATTTTATGAACTATAATCCCCCCTCTGGCACTTTCTTTCTCTTTAACGTTATTTCTCATTTAGAAAGAAAAAAAAAAGAGTAAGCTAAGCAAGCACAAAACATACCAAAGCTTGAACTCCACCAGCTGCTGCAATGGCTTCTCGATTTCTATCATCAAATGACAAATTCCAAAGTGCACCGGCAGCTTCTTGCCTATAGAAATATGACAAAATGCCAAATCAATATAGGAGCGAATGTAATTACAGGTACAAGAGTGCATGACAAAGAGAAGCACTAGTGGGAAAATTGTCATGAAACCAATCTTGTCAATTGAAGATTGCGGAAATAAGTGGTTTGTTCAAATTTGGTTAGGCGGCAGTGCTATAGCTACTATTTGACAAAACTTCTTACACTATAGTGCTGCTATAGCCTCTATTTGACAACACCGCAGAAACAATTCTTAACAATAACCTATGTAAGACCATCATCTTTCACACTCAACTTTCCAATAATCTACCCCTTAAATATGGAGTAATAACATTAATATGCTCCCCTCAATCAAGCACTTTTCTAAGTATCTAGGGATTACCAACAAAGAAGAAAGACTGCATAGGCTCACGCACTATCTAAGAATAAATATTGTCAGTGTAGTAACACACGTGTAAAGAAATAATAGAAGCTTACCTGACACCCTCGTTGGGAGACCGTGTAAGTTGAACGAGAGCCTCAAGAGCACCTGCTTCTTGTCCGACAGCAGCATTATTGCTGTTGCTATCTCCATGAGCAGCTAAATTGGCCATTGCACGAGCAGCCTAGTGTTTAAGAGAAATGATGTTATTTATATCCCACACCAACTCAGAATTACACTACACTCCCACAATTCAGAGTTACACGCGCGCACACAATTGAATAATGTAGCTATGAAATCATAATGCATAGTAAAGAAACAATAAAAGCACATTATCGTCATTATCCTTGAGTATATTTTCCAGATCAAGAGAAGTCGTGCATGCTATCCCAAATGCACATATTCAGAATTGGAAAGACAAGTTAGAGAACAAATCCAAAAATCAAATAGGACCAGCAAAGGACATTTCTAAGCCTTAAAAGCTAAGGAGTAGTAGCTAAAAATCGAGTAAGCCAAACATTTCCAGTCTCTTCCCCACAAAAAGAAAGCACACAGAAAAGGGAAATAGCAATTACCAATCGCTAACAGAGAAACAACTATTATGAGTCCAGATCTTTAATTGTCAGACATTGTCAACCTAATAAAGTAGCTTCAAAGATTTTACTAACTATATAGATGGTACCCAAATTATAGAGAGTATTAATACCTGCTCTTGCACTCCCTCGTATTTACAATTACGAGCAAGCATCACTAGAGCATGTACACCTCCTGCCAGTGCAACCTCTGTACTACACTTGTCATCAGCGGCTAAATTAGCCAATGCACCAGCTGCACGTTCCTGAAAAGAAGAAAAAATCCTTGTAAAACGGAAACTTCTATTACTTAACATAGGAAGCAACAAAAAATGCACTTAAAACGCGCTCATAGTCAGAAAACAAAGAAACTTACTAAAACTCCATCTCCTGTAGAGGACCACTTGAATATAAGATCCACTAAAGCTTGTACTCCACCAGCTTCAGCAATGGCACCCTATGATGGAAGCCACTTCGGCTTTTACTTCAAATCTTACACATTAAATATCAAAAAGAAAAGTCAAATCAGATACAAAATCTAACCTTGTGCTCCTCTCCAACAGAGAGGTTCCACAATCCTCCAGCAGCCTCTTCAGCCACAAGTTTGTTCATTGACCTAGCCAAACTAGCGAGGATCTCAATCCCACCCTCTTCTGCAACCGCCTTGGCCACATTGGCATTCACAGACAAATTTGCAATAGCCTGCAAATTTAGAAGGTTACAAGGATAAATACACAGCCATTGGTCAATTCAGATTTTTCTTTGGTCAGATTCCTCAGAAAAACAAACACAGCCAACAGTAGACATAAACTGCACAATGGTTATGGATTTAAAAGGTATTAGCTATTGAGAGCTATATAGTACCGACCCTTCGGATCGAATACATGTCTAGTGTATTACACGACACCGAAACATGTAGTTACATTCAATTATTCCATTTCATAAAAAAATAATTATCTGTGTTGAAGTGTAGTGTCTGGTTTCTATGCTTCATAGATCAAGACTGAGAGTACTTCAACAAATAAGTATCAATTTTTCCAACAATGGGTATAAGTGAAACTTATTAGAAATAGTCAGATGGACCAGACAGGAACAAACGGAAAGGGAGAACACCTTAGCTGCCTCAGACTGAAGCCCTTCCCTATAAGATTTTGCAAGCCCAAGAAGGAGGCGAATGCCACCATCTCGCATTACTGCTTCAGCCCTTCCACAATCGATGCTCGCATTTTCATCATCAATCACAACAAAAGTTGCAAGACCTGTGGCTGCCCTCTCTTGAACGTCCTCTTGAGAACTCTGCATTAGACTAAGCAAGAGAGACGCACCTTGTCCAACCCAGAAATGATCAAGAAGTCCTTGTTGAGGGCTCTCAGCAGAACGCAAAAGTATATGCGATAGCATCCATTCAAGCCAAGGTATAATTTCATCAAGATCCTTATCATTATTACTCTTTGAAGTCCTCCAGTCCAAAAACACATTCTTTCCTCTATTTGTATTATCGAAAAACAAAGAAGCTAGTCCTTTAAAAATGTCCGTGGTTAGGGAAATCAACAACTTGTTTTTATATTTACTAGCAGAAAAGCTAGTCTCTTCTTCAAAGATAGGACAGTTCAAAGCAATCAAAACCCTCAAATTTGTTGACGAGGATAGCAATCTTGAAACAGCAGAGGGACCAATATCGGTTCTTGAAACATCTAATCCAATCAGATTAGGAAGCTTATGCCAAAGATGTGAAACCGTACTCCACTTCATACTTGGTGTCCCTGCAACAGAAAGGAAACGAACTGATTGCACATTTCCCAATGCAAGCTCATCAACACTCAGGCAGTCGATGAACCCGATATCAGTCAGCTTAGGACAATAGTTAGCCAATGCATTAATAGCATCAGCATTTACATCCCTAATGCCTGAGAGCCTGAGTTTATTCAAATTAGGACAGCAATGAGCTATTGATTTTATAGCATCACTAGTGACTTTATCACAAAAATCTGGTCCAAGCTGAAGACTCTCAAGTAACTCATGCCGGGCTGCAACGACAGCAAGAGTTGCATCAGTCATCTTCCTACAACTATCCCCACTTATTTCACGCAAGTTCTTAGCTCGAAGATGAAGCAGTGCATCAGCAGACTCCGCCCCACGAAACCTAAGCTTCTGTAGATGCACACATCTAGAAGCAAGTGAAGATGCAACATTGGCATCAAACTTGTGTGAACGAAGATCCAAAGAAGTCCACAAACACGGAGAGTTCCCGAGAACCCTCCATGTCTTACAAGTTGCTGATAAACTAGCTCGGTCTCGATAACTCAGACATGACAGTAGCTGAATTACCGTATCATCAGGTAAGCTCCTCCAATCAACAACTCCTCCAGGCTCCAAATCCGCAACCTCATCTTCAATTCCAGGGAAACTTGAAACCACATTCCCTTTTCCTTTTCTTGCCACTTTCCTCCTCACTCTTCGGCTCATATTTCAACAAAGTCACACCAAAATCAGCATCTACACCTTCAAAATCAAAAACACAAATTTCAATACCACTGAAACAAATTCACAAACATAACAACTTCAAATTCCCAAATCCAAAAACCAATGAAAAACACAATTCAACCCATCTTATATAACTACCTTTCACCCTAAAAAAACCCTAGTCTTACATCCAAAATTAAACAAAATGAATAATACTGGAAATCAAGAACACAAAACAACCCAATCCCAAATACAACAAAGCAAACAAAACCCATAATTTGCATCAAGGTAAGAACACAAAAAAAAATTAAAAATTTGGTTTTTATTTCTCAAACCTGTGAGCTGAAGCTATGTGGTTGAAAACATCAAATCAGATGCATTTAAAGGGAGTGAAAAACGAAGCAAATTGAATAGGGTATATAGGTAAAGGAACAAAATTGAAATGAAGAGAATTGGACCTAGACCCTAAAAAGGGTCAAGGCGATGGATGGAAGAGTTGCGATGCAAGAAGTGAAAGGGGAAAGGGATGATTGGGAAGAGGAAGGTGATTGATGAAGGATAGAGAGAAGGAGAATGTAGCAAAGACACGAGAGAGAGAATTAGAGCAAAAGGGGTGAAATGCGGAAGAATGGGGATGGGGAAAGAGAGAACAACAAGCCTATATTGAAACTACAGCTCATAATAAATTCACCACTTTGCATCTCTATATATATGTCTTCAAAAATATTAAGAAAATATATATTGAAAATACTTTTGAGAAAATGCTAACAGATTTCATAAGCGGTTGATTATGATTTATATTATGCAGATAAGATAATCTCAATTCTTTATGTTGATTTAAAATATAAGAGAATAGATATTTGTATTTACTAATTGAAAATACTTTTGAGAAAATGCTGACGAATTTCATAAGCGGTTGATTATGATTTATTATGATTTATATTATGCAGAGAAGATAGTCTCAATTCTTTATGTTGATTTAAGATATAAGAGAATAGATATTTGTATTTACTAAATATAGGTTAGGTTGAGGTTAATGTGTGGTGTATAAGTTAATTTTGATTTTTATAGTTGAGATGTTCCTGTGACTTTTTTTAAACTGTTTGAGATTATTTTTCTTCTAAATTTCAGCTTTTTTTTTATGATTTGATGTGATGAGCTCGCGAACCCTCTTTTTATTGCATCAGATGCTTAGGACTCTCTCGTCTTGTTGTCAAGGCATCTGATGTGTTCAATTTGCAACACAGATATTGTTTGTGTATTTATAATCATGTGTGAATGTGTGTGATAGTGTGAATATATGTAATCGTTTATAATTCAAGTTTCGTATAATTGTTGGAAATTAGTGTGAAAATTATTAAACTAAATTGTGGCCACTTTAAGAGGAGAATAATCAAGTTTAGTGTTCATTGCATATGCAAGAAAGACAATTGAAATATGCGAGCAAAGTCATAATATGAGATTTTGATCATTAATTGTATCACATATGCCACACCTAGGACCCATATGTGAAAAACGGATTTGGGAATATTTTTAATTATGTTTTGCATCGCACATGAGAACTAATTTTTTAAATGAAACATTGTCTGTTGCAGCATATTGTGTGGATGTGTGAGAGAGAGAGAAAGAGAGAGAGAGAGAGAGAGACTTTAAGCCTCGTAATTGCGATGATGCAAGAATTTTAGGATTTATCTTAATTTTGCAAAAAAAATTCCAACCATTCTCTATAATAAAAAAAATCATGGAACCCTAGTCTCAGATCCATTATTTCCATTAACCTTCTAAATATTTCAATCTCCCTTTGATCATTAATAAAACTTATCAATTTCAAGGGCAGGGTCAAGTCTTGCTTAAAAGATTGTTTATGTGTATCATTTTCCTCATTATGGGTTTGAGTCGTATCTCAAATGTTATTATATCCTTCTTAAGTAATATTTGCATCTAAGTCTAACATTGTTTCATTTATTCTTTTGATTTATATCGATTAAAACAAAGGAAAGTAGATTGGAAGATCAAATTATATTTGTTAGAAAACTTCGTCACTTAGTATAAGGTAAGGATCTGAAGATTTGATTAAATCATAGGTGTGTTATGTGTCAGATGAGCGAGAATGTCAAACTTTTCACTTTGTTTGGGACTTGCCAAGTGCTAAATTTTATTAGAACTTAAAACAATTAATTGATAATACTCAAGTAATTATATATTAAAATAAGTTTGATATGTTGCATAGGTTATAATGTGTGATGTATATCTATATTATACTATTTAGAGTGACATGTGATATGAGTTTAGAATATAATGATGTTATATTTAATTAAGGGTTAAATATGGTTGTTATCTCTCTAAATATTTCAACAATTATTTTTAGTCTTAGAAAACTTTATTTGAAAAATGGTCCTTTTAAACTTTTTCATCTCTAATTTTAGTTTTTGTTATTAACTTCCAATACTGAAGTTGGTGTCGCATGTCATATGGTAGTTTAAATCTGACTAAACACAGATATGACATGACAGCGACACAATGGTGAGGATGATGATGTGTTGATTAAAAATTTAAAATTAAAATTAAAATAATAATTTAATTATTAATATAGAGACACAAAAATTCAATTGATGATAGACAAAATTAGTGACTAGTTCGAATGATGACTAAATTATAGTTGAATTCTGAACTTTTGTAAAAGAGGTAAAGATTGTAATATATAACACTAGTTTTCACATTTCATCCTTAATTTTAAATTCTAATTTAGTGAGACTATTTTTTACAGTAAAATAACTTGTGTCAGCCTAGCTAACACAATTTTATTTAACAAAATTGGAAAATGAACAAATCAAATATCCATATTCTATAATCGTTAAGGCATGTGCTAATCTAAATTTCATAATTATCTTCACATACTATATTATTTTTATCTCTATATCCACTTACAGTTCAAAATCAACATTCAAAATTCACATTCATTCTCTCTCTCTCACACACACAGAGAGACACACACAATTTTCTCTCCTCACCATTAAATCAATTTTTAACACGTCAATTTTCCTCGTAAACTACAAGCCGCACCCATCAACATACAAACCTAGAAATTCAATACCACACCAACAGGTCCAACACCTATAGTCCAATCCCTTGTCGACTAATACCTCATTTACAATGCCCATAACACATATAACATCACCATCGATTCCAACATCACAATTCAAAATGTCCTCACTTCAACATTATAATCCAAATCATTCGTACTTCTTCTCTTCTTAACACTGAATATTGGATACTTGAAACTCAAACCATATATATTTCTTCCACTACCATTTTTGGCGTCAACATCAAATGACGCCCAAACTCCCGACGTGGCCAATCCAATTGCCATATTTGGTGGGTATAAACTTAAATGTGAGTTAATAAAGTATTGTGAATACTTAGGATTTTGTTTTGTGTTATTTTACGGGTGACTGAATATGTCAATTTTGAATATCTAAATTAATTATTTGTTAAAATTTGAATGTTTGATGTGTATAAGTGTGCAAAGTGAATATATCAGACTCATGGAAATGACAGTTCCTAACTAACAATGTGTTAGTTAGGATAATAAGAATACAAAAACAAATGATATGATTAATGACCCAATGAATATATGTGCATGTCGTGTTATTGAGTGTGTGATAGCTTACTAACCTAATGTTGTGAGAACACAATAGCAAAAGTCTCATGGCGGAGGTTTGCTTTATAGTTCATGAAGGTCCTCAATAAGAATAATGTGGTTTGGATAATCTCAAATATTAGGAGCTAATATACAATCCTTAATTATCTTTTTTAGTAACCTAAGCATGTCTTAGACTGAGTAAAAATGGTCTATGAGGATGTGGCCATTATATATATATATATATATATATATATATATATATATATATATATATATATATATATATATATATATATATATATATATATATATATATATATATATATATATATATATATATATATATATATATATATATATATATATATATATATATATTGTTTGTTCATCCATTAGTATTTACATAGTAGTGTAACTCACTAGTGTAAAGATTAGAATATAATTTTAAAATATACACCTGTTATACTAAAAACAGGTGTAAATTAAAAATATGGTGGCAATTTTGTAAATAAAATGTCATTTTAAGTATTAGCACGTGACTATAGACACCTTATTTTTAAAAGCGAGTGTAAATTCAAAATATTATTGTAATTAAATCTTTATTATTTCTGTTAAATTTAAAACTGGTGTAAATTTAGATTGCATGAAAAAATTGTTTACTTTTATAAATCAAAATATTATTCCTAATAACTATATTGTTTTTCAATAAAAAAAATATCATAGTTTAAAAAAAGTTAATCTTTTTTCTCAAAAGCGATCTCTCTCTAAAAAGCAAGTTCTCTCTCTCACACACACACAAACACGCACGCGCGCGCGTGCGCACACACACAGAGAACAGTGGTTCTCGATGAACCCTAAATACCTAATCTAAGTGCTAAATGGAAAACAATATAGCGGTGGTGGTGGGTCTAGGGTTCTGATCCCCAACAATATACAGAAAACCGTCAACCGTTAATGACATCAGAGAGATCATCGAAAATCAACACTTTTCCGATGAAATCCAAACTAGTTAATTTTTATCAAATAAGGTATAAATTTGTTTGATATATATATATATATATATATATATATATATATATATATATATATATATATATATATATATATATATATATATATATATATATATATATATATATATATATATATATATATATATATATATATATATATATATATATATATATATATATATATATATATATATACTCGTTTTTTATAAAATAACGTGTAATATATCTTCTACTTACACTCGTGTTTTTATAAAACAAAGTGTAATATATCTTTTATTTACACCCGTTTTAAAATAGATGTAATTTCGTTTGATATTTCTCATCCTTTAAATTTACACCCTCTAGTA